CAATTCTCTTCTCCAAAGGTCATACCTCTCTTTGTCACGTCTCTGCTGATCCCCCTCCTCGTCGTATCTCTGCGCGTGATGCGCTCGGACGACGGCCTCGATACGCGCCTGGAAGCGCCATACGCCACGAAGCGCATTTTTGCCACCATGTTCTCGCCCGTCATCATGCTCCTTCTAGGCGGGTTTGCCCTCGCCGCAGCTCTCAGCAAGTATCACATTGCCAAGGCGCTGGCCACCGTGGTTTTGTCCAAGGCAGGGACCAGGCCAAGCCACGTCCTGCTGGCGAATATGATGGTCGCGACGATTGCGAGCATGTGGATCAGTAATGTCGCTGCGCCAGTGTTGTGCTTTTCGTTAATTCAGGTGGGTTTTTATTTTATTTATTATTTATTTATTTGTTTAGAGAATAGGGTGTGTGTAGGGAAAAGGCCTGTTTGATTGGCTGGTTTAAATGACGCGTGCGAACGATCTTGATGATAATGAACCCCAACCTAAATATCTTCTCTGTAATCCGCCCCACCTCACCACCAGCCCATCCTTCGCACCCTCCCCAACAAATCCCCCTTCGCGCGTTGCCTCATCCTCGGGATTGCCCTCGCCTCCAATGTGGGCGGCATGGCATCTCCCATCTCCTCTCCCCAAAACATCATTGCCATCGAGAACATGAAACCGTCGCCAACCTGGATTGAATGGTTCTTTATCGCCATACCGCTCTGTATCCTCTCCAACTTTGTTATCTGGCTTCTCCTTCTCTGGTCCTACCAGCCCGAGTCCCACACCCCACAAATCCACGCCATCCGTGCCTCGAACGACCCAATTACCCACACCCAGGTCTTTGTCGTTTCCGTCACCACCTTCACCATTGCTCTCTGGTGCCTCGAGCACAGCTTCGAGAACGTCTTTGGCGACATGGGGATCATCGCCATCGTGCCCCTCGTCGCCTTCTTCGGGACGGGAATTCTCACAAAAGAAGACTTTAACAACTTTCTCTGGACCGTCATCATCCTCGCGATGGGCGGCATTGCCATGGGCAAGGCCGTCGAGTCCTCGGGTCTGCTCCATACCATCGCAACACATATCCAGGACCTCGTCCAGGACCTCTCGCCGTTCGAGGTCCTGTTCGTCTTCTCCGCCCTCGTCGTTGTTATCGCCACATTCATCAGTCACACCGTCGCGGCGCTCATCATCCTACCGATCGTTGCGCAGGTCGGCGCAAGTCTGCCGGACCCGCACCCGAGGCTGCTGGTCATGGTGCGTACTCACCTTCCTGTCCGTTCTTTCTTGTTACATTCCGGCGACGTTCCCACACTTCAATTTTGCTAACCCTTCTCCCTCTATCATATAGGGCTCGGCGCTTATGTGTTCCGCGGCAATGGGCCTGCCTGTCTCAGGCTTTCCCAACATGAACGCCATCATGATGGAGGACGAGATGGGCGTGCAGTACCTGACCACCCTTGATTTTCTCAAGAATGGCGTCCCTGCAAGTATTCTTGTCATGCTCCTCGTCACATCTGTCGGGTATGGGCTTATGATGCTCGTCGGGTTTTAGGAAGTGGGAAAAAAATGGGGAGGTAGAGACGAGTTGGGAGGGCAGTTGAGAGGAAAATCTGTAAATTAATCCGTTGTGGATGGACATCCGAGGAATGTACCAGCTTGGGTACAGTGCAAGTTTCGACGAGAAAGCTCGAAAGCTTTTTATATATTTATTATTAAATTACGAAACGAAAGCGACTCCGAGAAGCCTTGTCGTCGGACCTGCGCGCGGTTCGGTGGAGATGGATGCGTGTTCTGGACGGAGGAGAAGGGGGTTAGGGTTTTTCGCGTGGTGGAATGGTCGATCGACAAATGGTACGGGATATTGTTTGAAGCGCAGATCCAGGTGCTCATCATCTCGTGAACTTATCGCCGTCACATAGGCTGTGATTTCTCATGTAGGGTTGTGATTTTGACCAAGGACGAAATTTCTTTGTATACCGTGACGTTAAACTCCTCAAGTCATATTTCCTTTATTCCAAAATTAGGAACCGATCCATCTACAAGTAAACCATACCCTTAAACCCTCAACCCCTACCAATAGCTCGTTCCCAAAAATCCTGCTCCAGCTCATTCTCTCTTACATATTACCCTTTAACCTCCAACGACTGTGGATCATCGCACCCCCCTCCCCCCCCCCCCCCCCCCGGTCGCCGACGCACAGAGTATATAAATTACCCGAGCTCTACGGAACTGCTGCGCGAAAAGGTAAAATGCCGAGAAAACATCTGAGCATCGAGAGGATACTCTTTTTGTAGTCGCTGCCTTTCGTGTTACTATGTGTTGTAAACAAATGTGCGTATCCTTTTTGGAGGCGGGCTCGAATATGTAAGGCATTTATTTATTTATGCGAACTCTGAGATTACTTATTGGATGTAGCGGGGATTTCCGTATGTTGCGGAAAGTTACAATAAGAATAATATTAGGGCCACGAGGGTGCGGTTTGCGCAATAGCACATGATAATGTTGCCGACAATGGCTACCCTCTCCTCCCGCATTCCACGCCCACTTTCCATGACAGGGTCTAACGATATTAACTGTTGGTGACAGCTTGGGTATGAGGGAAAAGAAAGAAAGAAAGAAAAAAAAGGTGGGGAGGTACTGGCAGTGATTCCCACAATGGTGCCTCATTACATCCAATCCCATCGCTTACATTTTCAATACTCGTCCGGTTCGGATCCTTTGCGGATTCGCACAGGGTCTCCGTGTGGACAGAGTGGTGTGTGTTTGATGCTCAAGCCACAGGCACGCTTCTCGTTTCAAAAGCCCCTCCCCAAAAAAAAGTGACAACCCTGGAGAGGATTCGAACCTCCATCCGCCTGCACAAGCAAAGTGTAATACAGCCGCTCTACCATTTGAGCTACCAAGGCTTTTGTCGGCATGTTTGTCGGGGAGCACATGCCTGCCATTCGAATTCCGACCTTTTTCTCGCTGCTTGACTATTGGTCGTATGTTGGGCCCCGGTGAGATGGTCACGGGTTCAAGGCAAAGAATTTCTAACTGACAGCCACCCACGTTTCACCCTGTCGCTGGCACGGCCAGGTCCCTCAGCTACGATACGTCCGACGAGGGTTTCTGGCATTGTTGCATGAACCGCACGGAGGTGCAGTTCAATTTGGAAAGAGGTGAGGAGGTCGATGAAGTAGATGGGAACGTAAAGACGTTCGAGAGGATAAAGGTGATGAATTCATGGGGGAATATTTGAGGACTCATCGCTCTCTCCATCATACTTCACCTAGCATGCTTCAGCAATCTTGTTGGTATGCATCATCTGTGTTGCAGCTGGGCCTGACCAGGTCCCAGCTATGATAAGCTCGATGACTTTCCAGAAACACGTTTTTGCATTGCGAGAGTTAGCTTCGACATCGACGGGCTGGCTCTCGGGACGTGCCATCAACCTTGTAATTCACAATTGCCAGCACATTGTCATTCATCGTGTTACTCCACCTTCAAAAGCTAGTCACAGCTCGCAACTCCAATGTGGGACGTGGTATGAATGGAAACGAAACGTGCTGCTAAAGCGTGATGCTGCATGTAATGTTAGATGTAGTGTAAAATGCAATACAAAGTGCAAAGTTAAAGTGTGTATTGTGAAATGTGACATCTAAGCACAATGTGGAATATGAATTATGGAGTCACAAGGTCAGTGAAATGTAAATTGCAAACCGAAATAAATAAATAAATAATGTAGAAAAGCATAGCCTCAAATAAAAAGAAGAGTAACTGCAAAATATAACATGAGACAGGATGTTGAAAGAGTGATATACGACGTTGAAACATAGTGTAGAGAATTTAACATGAATGTGATGCGAATGTGGGGTATGTGAAGCACAGTGTGGGGTATGTGAGGCACAGTGTGGGGTATGTGAGCACAGTGTTTTTAAACCAGTGCGAATTGGGGACGGTGGTATCTGAGGCTCTTGGGGTACACCGAACACTGGATACATCTGAGAGCGGGTGCAAACTGTGGGGAATGCTGAGATAGTTTGTGTTTTTAAAAGGAATGAAAACGTGCAGTTATGTTGTATTATGTCGCAGCTGCGTTATTGGTGGCACAAAAAACCGGCTCGAGATGGATCAGATCCAAACTCGGTCGAGATCTTGGGTGTTACCCCACACGGCTCACGTGACACCAAAAGAGGACGAACCAGCCGCATGTTCGCACCAGCCACCCTTCATGCCCTTCATGAACTTCTCCGATTCGACACGAACCACGGACCGTGACCTCAAAACAGATCTCAAGTTCTCCATTAACAACCCGGGCTGCAGCGACGTGACCTTCGTGTGCAAGGATGGCGTGCGGAAGCACGCGTACCGCTCGATCCTGGCGCTACGCTCGGACATGTTCAACAGCATGCTCTACGGCAAAATGATTGAATCCAAGTCCACCGAGATACCGCTCCCCTCCACCACATCCGCCCAGCTCCAGATAATTCTCGAGTACTGTTATACAGACGACACGCCCTCCTTATCCCTCGACAACGCTGTCCACGTCTTCGAGGCCGCAGAGTACTTCCTCCTGCCCCGCCTCCAGCAATTCGTCGTCAACCATGTAGACGTGAATTTGCACGACTACGAGACCGCCGGAATTATACTTTCGGACGCCGTCCGCATCGCAGAATCTTCCCCAATGAAGGACATCCTCCTTACCACCATTCGCAAGTACTTCCTCGCCAAGCCCCTTGAGTACGGCATGCTCCGAACCCTCTCGCGCGAGGGGCTTGAAGCCGTCCTATTAGATCAGGCAGCCGTCAAGGCCTGCCCAACCGACGCCTATACCTGGCTCCTCTGTATCGTCGACTGGGCCTGCGACGCCATTGGCGACGACTCAATCCCAGAACCTCAACGCGTCCGTATCCTCTCCGCCCTTGACATAGACTGCAAACTCTCCAAACCCCTTGCCAGCCCCCTGACAATCGCGCTCCACATCCCACCTGAAACCCGCCGTCACCTCGAGGAAACCATTTCGCCCTTCTTCCGTTTCGTTCACTTCGACCAGATCTGCTCTCATCGCCTCGTAGCAGTCATGGACGTGCTTGACTTTGTCCCGACCAACATTCTCTGCGTCGCTTTCCGCCGTAACGTCGTCGACAACAAGGTCTGTCCACCCTCCTGGCCGCACGGCAACGGCTGCGTCTGGGATCGCGAGCACGTCGGACCTTCGCTCCGCCTCTCCACGAACGCCACCCTCGTCGAATACCACCCGGACAAGCGCGGCCTGCAGGCAAACGCTCACCAGTCCGTCACGGGCGCCTCACCCCTCACCCCCGACGCCGCGTGCGAGTGGGACGTGGTCGTGCACTCTGTCAGCCAGGGGAATGGCGGGATCGCATTGGGCATCGCCACAAAGATGATCGTTACGGATCAGAATTATGTGCTTGGTATGCAGCCAAATAGCTGGGGTTTCGCGTCATCGGGGGGTGTGTACAATTCCAACCCGTTCTCGTTCACGAACCTTGGTAGCGGGTTCGGGCCCGGGTCCATCATATCGTTCCGTGTTGATATGAAGGAGAGGTCGTGCGCTATCACTGTTAATGGAAAGTATCATGGCGTCGTGTGGAGAAACTTACCCGAGGTGATTTACCCGGCCGCATCGGTTACGTATGGGAGCAGATGCGAGATACGGGCGGTCCAGAAGAAGGTGTTGCAGCTTAGCGCGAGTATGTTTAGGTAACGTGGGGCCGCGTTGTGGGGCAAGGTGTGCAAGTGTAGCTTTTTGTACTTTTATTTAAAGCCTTGAATGTGCTTTAATGTAGTTCTAGGAATATGCAACGCGATAGTCGAGTTAATTCAACTATAGTGTTTTGTGGAAAAAAAAATAAAAAAATAAAAAAATAAAAGGTCGATGGGAAGGAAGCCGGTGGAATCGGGCTCGTCGCAAGAAACTCAGGAGGAAATAATGGAAGAGAAAGTACCTAGGCAATCATCTAATTCGGAGCCTGCCACGGAATTGCTTTTCTTGTATTCCGCCTCCGTAAAAGTTTTATTTTAAGCACAATACCTACAAGGCTTTATAGTGTGGGTTCCCGTTGACCTTCACCAATCCGGCACTCCATCTAAACCTACACCATCAGTCCAGCGCGTATAAGTAGCTTTCAGCGCATAATCTCCGCCGTTTTTATTTTTTCTTTTTTCTTTTTCCCCAGTGCAAGCAACTAAATAATGACGGTAATGATAATAATAATAAAGAGCAACCCTCTTAGCGTTACCCAGAAGCCACCACGAGGAGGTGGGATTGCTTCGGCTTCCACGCACCTTATAACGCACCGTCCTTACTGTCCCACCTTCCCTCTCTTCTTTCTTTCTTGCAACACCGAGGCGATCCATCGTAGGCCGATCCCAATGCGGGGCGGAACCATCCCGATTGCCGGATGATGATTCCCTTTGCCGAGGAGAGTATTGCCGCAGCATTCGTCACTCGTCCTCTTGAACTCCTCGGCCCTCGTACGTGATCGAGGGCGTCGTGAGGGACGGAGGTGACGCTGTCCGCTTGGCTCCGCGCTCGCGGCACCTTCGTGGGTCCAAACTCAGCGGGAGGGACACCGCAGCTCACCCGTGGGGCAATGGTCGCATCGTAACTTTCTCGCACGCCGGTCAGAAACCTGGTGCGAGTGACGGGCGCCACACTTTACCCGCGTCCAAAGGTCTTGAGGAGGGAGGGGATGGGTTTTGTCCTGTGGAAAAATATGAGATGACCGTTTTGTGCCCGTCGGCGGAAGCAGAGAATACGGTGGAAACAGAAAACACGACAAGCAGAAAACACGGCAGAAGCAGAAAACACGACAAAAGCAGAAAACATGGCAGAGCAGAAAGCAGAAAACACGACAAAAGCAGAAAACACAGCAGAAGCAGAAAGGCAGAAAACACGGCAGGAGCAGAAGCGGATGCTGTTGAGATAAGGTGTGAGAATGAGAAACTGCGGTAAAAGGGGCGACGCGCCAAGATGCATCGTCTGCATGACGTCATTTAAATTAAAAAGTATATACATCCCAATATATCTTTGCGCATAGAGGATTCACAAGGGATTTTTTTGGTTTTTTATTTTATCCTGCTGCATGGCTTAAGCATACAACTTGATTTATTGATCCTTTTTCATGTTTGAGTGCAGGCAAATCTGTCTCGTGTACGATGAACACCACTTCTTTTTTTAATGACAAATGTCACTCATCATAATTACAAACCAGAAAAGGGGGTTTTATGACGCCTCCCCATCAGCATATCGATGATGGGGTGTTTGTAAGATCTCGGTCAGCTATACAAGTATGCCATAGGCAAACATTCAGGTGTATGTAACAAGTTCATACATGAAAATACGTAAGAGTCTAAACATCCCCCCCATACCACTGTCATGTGCTTTGTCAACGATAAAAGCCATGAAGTTCGAGGTTTGAATGAAAGCCAGCATTTTTTGTTCTGGACTGATATAGTGAAAAAAGCACTATATCAAGGCCCCGGAGGATTTTGGATTACATTTTTCCTCCAATAGCCTACAAAACCCTTAATGGCCACCACCACTCATGACATTCATGCTCTCATCCGGGCCACTGCCGCCACCTACGGAGCCTTCCCCGCGTTTAAACCTAGCCTTCGCGACATATTTCATGCTCTACTCGATTCCTTCGAGCCCTCGAATTTTATTTTGGCCATCGACGGCGCCCCCGTCAGACAGAAGGATAAGGGGCGGATCTTGCTTGCCGAGTTCCTCGAGGCCGTAGCGAGGAACGAGTTCGGCTTCTTCGACATGGCCCACGTCGGGAAAGAGTTTGATGACATCCGTCGAAAGCTCGGTGCATTTGAAAATATGAGCCAAGTCACTTTGGGTCCTCCCCCCGAGTCTAAAGTAAGAGGCTACCACAACCTAAACAGCACC